CCAAACAACTATTTATTTATTTATTTATTCATTTATTTATTTATTTAATCGTTCCATTTCATTTTAAGAAATTTTGTACAATAGCGATCTGAAACAAAGCTCTCAAGAGTGAAATCACATCGAAACAAGAACTAAATAATAATTATTTTCAGGAACAAATATTTCAACATTTTGTGTACATCTGAACACGTGGGATTTTTAAAAAAAGTCTGACATCATATTATAGATGTAACCTATCCCTTAAGCAATATGACCCTTTTAAAACAGCTGTTTCTTAAAACTAAACCTTCAACAATAAAAATGATTGGAACAGGGACGTAGTCCCATCCTCCACGTTTTCAAGCTCTCCCACACACACACACGTTTTCAAGGCAAAGTCCAATTATAAAATTTAAATCATCAATTGACAACTCCGCCGTTTATTTGCACAGTGACCTAATATGCAAAAAGCGTACGTTTAATTAAATAAAACCGTTCTCAATATAATACAAAACCGGTCAATTCTCATTATAATTTTGACGGTTCACGCCAACAAAATTTCAACACAGCCCAAGGCTGGCACACGGACAAGATTTGATTTAGCAAACGAAGACTCACAAAAGCAACACCGTTTGCTTGAGAGAGAAAAATAAATAGAATCACGCGCTTTAGCGCAAGTACACACCTCGGCCGAAGTGTGCAACTTTGGGGGTGGCTACTGTGTGGTGTCTGTTATTAATATTGCTGACAGTTGAAAGAGAAGGAAGGTCCGGATCTGAATCTTAGACTGTTCAGTTCGCTAAACTTAGTTGTAGTTTGTAGTTCCTGGTTAAGTAAAACGTACACTTTTCCGAGTCAGAGCCATTCCTTTAAATTTTCTCAGAATAGACTCAGTCTCTTAAATTTCGAGTACAGCTTATTGAAAATACGTATGGCGTCCTCTCTCATATTACATTTTCACACACCATTAGTCACATCTAACGACTGCATTAATAGATTAATCCTGCAAGAAATTCCAATAATAGCGCCCACCATGGTCTCCAGCGTGGAGAATAA